GCTCTCTCGATGGTCCTTGTGTATGCAGTGGGCCTCGTGTGTGTTGGCGAGAGAGGAGAGAATCCATAACCTCAACGAGGTTGTGTCTCCATGCAGCGTGGTCGTCTTCGTTTGGAGGTTGGGGCACATCCTGGTGATGATGTCGAGGGTGACGTCATGGAAGGGCACCACGAACATGTAGAGGAGTCCTCTGTCGTCGTGGAGCTGCCAGGAGAAGGTCTCTTGCTGGGCGGCGGAGAGGCTCTCGTGCCAGGCGTGGAAGTGCGTGGTGAAGTAGTCCTTGAGGGCGGGTGACGAGTGGGATGGGTCGGCGTTCCAGTGGTCGTGGAAATGGAGGGCTGCGGGGAATTTGGTGAGGTCGTTGCGGGTGAGGAGAGTGCGGGCGAGTAAGGGCCACTTGCGGCCTGGGAGGAGGTGGTGGTAGAGGTGGGGTGTGGCCGTGATATTGAGGCGGCGTGATAGCAAGCAGAGCGAGGCGAGGAATGAGATGCGCGTCTCTTCTGTGTCATCTGGGCCCTCCGTCTCGGTCGGCGAGCAGTGCACGCAGAACGGCCGGATGATTTGGTCGGTGAGCTCGACGGGGAGGTCGTCGATACCCATTGAAGGTAGGTATATAAAAAGTATGGTATGGAATGGAAATATTCAATATCCTCAACGAGACTTCAATAATTTTGAGTGTTAGCTTCTACTTGAATACTTAGTAGAATGGCGAGAAAGCTGAAATTGGGTTATTTTTGCATGGGCCGGAAGAGTGTAGCTTAGGGCAAAGAGCCCTCTCTCTTCGGTTCACAAACTTGACCGGCTTATTTTGTTGAAGCGGTTCCTTTCTCTAAGCCGTACAGTAACCGCGTTGGAACGTAAAAGCGGTTGGTTACCTAGGTACCGGCTTCAGGCGTTTCTTGTTGTGGTTTGCTGACTAGACGTATCTAAGGTACCTTACCTGGTACGGTAATTGGCGCGCGAGTGGTGCGGCGAGGAATGAGACCTAAACCCAATCACTGAGCCTGGGTTGAAACAACATCGTCCTAGCCCCTCTTAACGACGGCTAATAGACGGAGATGTACGTTTTCTTGATTATCCACCACATTGTACAATAGGAGTCCTGCCTCCCTCTCAAGTTCCCTAGTGCCTCGCTTGGAGCTAATGACCTAGACACTGTGAAAATGGCAAAGTAACAATTTCCGGGTCAATCCGCAGAATCAGGCGGTGCCTGTCATGGCGCCCGTTGCTACCAATCCTCCGAATTCGTAACAATGCATAGGTACCTACCTATTGGCGGATTTGTGGCACTATATTTTGGAACATGCCGCGTTAAACGCTTCGCATTCTGGGATAGGGGCGTGTGCATATAAGTGACCTGAGAATAGCACTGATGGTTGGGTATATGTCCCAATGAGTCTCCTAACTCTGCTCAATCTAGAAAATACTGTATCCTGCTCTACAGTTGCGGATACTAACCAAGAGTAAATATTCCCTAACACCAACCTCCAGGTTAGGCCTGTCAGGACCTGGGAAGGACCTCTAGGGGTGAATGCTAAAGTGATGGGGTACAAACTGAAACAGCTGTCAAGATAACGGCACTGCTGGAGTATCAATAACTAGTGTTTCTTAGCCCGACTCGCTTGCGAATACCGCTTGCCAATGGAGCTGGAGCGGTGATTCCTTGAAAGGAAGGTTGCTCAGAGCTTAGGCTCCAACGCAGGAAATCGGTTGCCTGCCTATATGGCTGGTTGCCCATGGTTCCTATCCAGTGGTGCTGAAAAGGTCGCATTCTTCTTCCATTTCCCGACGCTTAGAAGGAGAGGTCTCTGCACATGTGCATTTCATCTTCCGCCTCCCCTTTCATTGTCAAGTCTGACAGGCCACACTTATCCACCGACAAACTCTGACAGTCTGACAGATAAATATTGCCATCGTCTCTGTCCCTGGATTTTGCACTCTCGATCGCTATGACCCATCTTTCGTCCGTCAAATCACCTAATCTTCCCTGGGATCATCTCCCTGTCTCTACAATCTGAGCAAGACATATATCCGTGGTTTCAATGATCAAGATGGATCCTTCAGTGAGCAATCTTTTTCACCAACCTTAAATTACCTACCAATTTGGGGACATGGATTGCTTACCCCGTCAAGACTTCAGACTCCATCCGCCCTGCTACCCTTTCTGCCCGTCCGCTCTCCAGCCGCAGCGTTGCCGAGTACCGGTTGCCGGCCGCCACGCAGACGCACGAGTTCGCTCGCGTGCCTGGCTCCAAATTTGTGCTATTGTCGCAGATGTCCGACAGCGAGCTCATCAAGATCGAGCTGGACCCGACCAGCGAGGAGCCCATCGCGTTGCAGTCGTTCCCCATTGGGGAGAGCAGCGCGTCCGGGCTCCATGGCGTCTGGCCGTCCAAGAAGTATCCTGGCATGATGTGGCTGACGCTGCAGTCCGAGAACAAGCTGTTGCTCGTCGAACCCGGCCCGGATCTCTCGACGGCCCCATCCATTATCCAGACGATCGACGTTCCAGAGCCAGGGAACGGCCCGCATTGCATATTCGAGATTGGCAACCGTGTATGGTCCGGGCTTAAAGTCGCATCCAGGCAGACGGGGGAATACTACGTATTCTCAGCAGATATCGATAATGCAGCCGACAGAGTCTTGTACCCGTGCCTCAACAGCCCCGTATTCATTCAGGAGGAGCCAACTACGCGACTTATCTATGTCACACAGGACGTCGCATCGTCCATCATGCGCATTAATGTCACCAGCGGCGAGACGACACAGCTGCCGATCCCTCCCGACGTCGGCAGCACACCCGTCGGCATGACCACGGTGTCGGGTCCCCTGATGGGCTTGTGGTTCACCCTCGCTGGCAACGCAGCCGGCGGCTCCGGGTCCTTTGGCCGTATCGAACCCACGGGCGAGCTACAATTCTTCCAGCTCCGGGAGCCGATGCTCGGGGCCAACGCCGGCCTTCTCCACATCGCCGACGCTTCGACCATCGACAGCGGTCCGGCGCTGTGGCTCCTGTCGTCGTCGCTGCTCAGCTCTAATTCGGCCGACGCGCTGATTCGCGTCACGTTCGACCAGGCCGTCACGGCCGTCGCCGGCGAAGAGTACATCTCCATGCCGACGCAAAACGCCCAGGTGCATCGCGTCGTGACCCTGGATGCCACGGTGCTCGTGTCCGAGCTGAGGACGTTCACCCTCGCCCAGCTCACGTACAAGAATACGGTTGCTGGGAAGTGGGTGCCGGCGGAGTGAGACGAGGCTGTCAGTGACGCCACGGATGGTTGCTTACGAGGTGAGCGGCCCAGACTTGCCCCGGGGAGACAGTGGGACCGGGTAACCTAATATGTGATGTTCTGTTGGGGTCCACTTGGCGGATCATTTTAGGTGGACATTGGACCTTCCGAGTTCCGTTGCCGAACCCTGATGTTCTGGTCTTCAAATGGGTGTGTTTTCGGGACCTAAACGGGCAAGCAAACGGGTTTTAGAATTGAACGGCCAGTTTTGAACGAATGCCATTCCTTGATGCCAAGCTCCAGATGTATCATTAATAAGGATTGTGAGAATGTTGCCTCTTCACCCAGATGGGCTTGGATGTGGACAGAAAAAAACTTGTAGGAATTGGTATTCGGAACTTAGCAGTGTTGAGTGCGGTGGTTCTTAATTCCGACGGTGGGTCTCAAAGTCATGCTGAGAGTTCTTTTTGGCCGACTCGGGTCATCCAAGCATTGCTAGCGGCAGTTTCTGTCGTCATATCTTTTGCCCGCAAGTGTGATCCGGTGAGAGGGGTTTCCCTTCCCATTTCAATGCATCTTACCTATCAAGGGGCCTTCCGAATTAGTCAACACTCCGCACTTTTTCTTGTCTTGTTTGTGGAGAGGAACTTAGGAAGTCGATTGAGTGATTCCTAAACTTCATTCAACACTTTCAATCACAACTCAAACCACAAAACAACTCCAGTAATTCCAAGTAAATCAACCCCGCACCACCACCGGGCATCACCGTGTATGCACTATATATCCCTTAAGCACTCTCACTCACACTCTCTAGACCACCACCGCCATGTCTCCCCTCATCGCCCAGTCACCCACGCCGCGCGTGATCCTCGGTCTGATGACGTTTGGCCCGGACGAGTCCACCGGCGCCCGCATCACCGACGTCGGCGAGTTCGGCAAGGTGCTGGACCTGTTCCAGTCCCGCGGCTACAACGAGGTCGACACCGCCCGCATGTACGTCGGCGGAAAGCAGGAGGCCTTTACGCGCGAGGCCGGATGGAAGGACCGCGGCCTGACCCTGGCCACCAAGGTCATGTACCCGGGGGTGCCGGGCGCCAACACCTATGACAAGGTGCTGCAGTCGGTCGACACCAGCCTGAAGGATCTGGGGACCGACTGTGTCGACATTCTCTACCTCCACGCGGCGGTAAGTTCTCTGCCATTAACCCCCCAGCCCTCACAACCCCCCCGACCCTAACACCGCCCCCCCCCCCCTCCCAGGACCGCGCAACCCCCTTCGCCGACACCCTCCGCGCCATCAACGACCTCCACGTCGCCGGCAAATTTGTGCGCTTCGGCGTCTCCAACCTCACCGCCTTCGAGCTGGCCGAGGTCGTGCTCACCTGCGCCCACCACGGCTGGGTGCGCCCGACGGTCTACCAGGCCATGTACAACGCCATCACGCGCAGCATCGAGCCCGAGCTGGTGCCCGCCTGCCGCCGTTATGGTTTGGATCTGGTGGTGTATAACCCGCTGGCGGGGGGGTTGTTTTCCGGGAAGATTAAATCGCGGGATTTGGTGCCCGACGAGGGGAGGTACAGTGATAATGCCGTGTCGGGGAAGATGTATCGGGAGCGGTATTTTAGGGATACGACGTTTCGGGCGCTGAGGGTGGTGGAGGGGGCGGTGGAGAAGGCGGGGTTGAGCATGATTGAGGACGGCGTTGAGGTGGGTGGTGCATCACTCGGCGTTGAGGGTGAGGGATGGGAATGATGGGGTCATTGTGGGCGTGTCGAGGTTGGAGCAGCTGGATGCGAACTTGACCGCGCTGGAGAAGGGGCCGCTGCCGGAGGAGGTGGTAGCGGCGCTGGATGAGGCGTGGGCGATTAATAAGGCGGATACGAGCGTGTATTGGCATGGGGAGGTCAAGTATGCGTATGACACGCGGGAGGCCCTGTTTGGAGGGGAGAAAAAGTAGGGGGTGGACAAGGTCATAATGAACCCACTCTCTTTCGAAGAGGTGAAGGAGTCACCATTTGTTCTTGTTCCTTGCGTGTCTCTAGCTTGCCACACTCCCCGAACTGCCGCCCAATGCATTGGGAGAAAAAGATGAACTGGTCTCGGGTTAGGGCGAGAAGCATAGGTACGCAACGCCACGTGAGGCTTTGGACCCGAGCAAACTTCCGCTGCAAGGTATTGTTGATTGCATTAGCGATTGCAGGTTAGTTCTCTCGGAAATCATCATGCAACGACGGAGAGGAGTCAGGGGGTTGCGGAAGCAAAGCCCGTCATAAATTACTGAAGGAAAGGAAAGTCTACATTTACTTTTATGTCTACCATACTCATGTGCATCCGAACCAACAGCCTAAGGAAGCCGTCGTTAACCACCCTTCGCCACCGCGTCAGAATGTCATAGTTTGGTTGGACCTGTTGCTAGGGGTTGGGTTGGGAGCGGGCTTGGGTACGCATGGCTTCTCGTACGCGCCACGTTTCTGGAGGACAAAGGCCATGGTGTGGAGAACGGAGATGAGGATATGGAGAGTGAGGTGCCTAGGTACTTATCTCTATTAGCAGCTGGGGTTGATGCCGTTGCAATTTGGAGAGAGAGGACAATTCAGTGAGGTATTTTGTTGAAAAGGATCCGGAAGTGAAAGCCGTATAACTATATGTTGGAACATAATTGATATATAACTTGAAGTTCCTCCTTGTGCGGAACAGGGTGACGGACAATGACTTTGTGTATTGTTGCCTGAGTAGTTGCGGATGATCAGGCAAAGGGGAGTGCAATAGCTCATAGCTCATTTACACAGTCGGCTACAATCGGTCCCTAGGCTAGAGGCGCCTCTATCAGCGTCTCAGCGCCCGAGTCCACAGAGACGCTCTGCCTCCTGTTCTCAGCCCCCCCACCCCCATCCTTCTGTCGTCTCTCGGCCACGCTCTCTCGAAGGTGTCCCGAAAACAACAGTGCTCGTCTCGTCACCTTGTCTGTGCTGCCGTAAGCTTTGTGGCCGTTCAAGTGGTCGCAGATGGCGTCAAGTAGCTTGAATGCCTCGTCGTTCCGGCCCTGAATGCTCAGTCGACGGCTGATGTTGACCATCCCCCAGTAGAAGGCGTCGTCTGGCTTTGCGCTCTCCCCGTGAAGGTTCTCAATGACGCTCTGCAGCAGCTTCTCCCTGCGTTCGCCGTCGTCATTCGTTTCGTCCAGAAAGCTCTCCAGTAGTGCCGGTGGCTGGAGATCAGGCCGCGGGATGACGTTGGCCATGAGCTCGATGCCGACGTTGTACACTTGTGCTGCCTCGTCTTTCTTCCCTTGCTTCTCGAGACACTCCGAAAGGCTGTGGTGGAACGGCCCGTGTACGATGTAGGGAAACCAAGCGCACGTCTTTGGATTATTTTCGATGAAGTCGGTCATCTCCCGCAACAGCGGTTCTACTTCCTTGGCCGGATTGTGCCTTCCCATGAACAGCGCGGCGCTGGCAACCGTATTCACGGTGCGCTCGTGTACAAAGACATCTCTGTTCGTCCAGTCTTCTTGGAGCAGCTGCTTGATAATACCACAGGCTTCCTCAAACTTTCCCATTTCCGTCAACACGGAGGCGTGGTTGCCCAGGCTCCAGAGAGTCTCATCGTCTTGCGGGCCGTAGATCCGCATGCGGTCTTCGACAATGTCCCGTGCGAGTCGTTCCGAGTCCTCGAGCCGGCCGATGTCCAACAGCATTCTAGCGTATGCCAGCCTCGCCTCTTGGACGACGTAGGAGTCCTGCTGGTCGGTCGTCTCGGCCCGCTGAAGGATATCCTTGTACACAGCCTCTGCGTTGGCGTATTCCCTCTGGGACCGGAGAGACCTCGCTTTCAAATCCATGGCGCTGAGGGTAAACCTGTCTGCGGGCCCCAAGAGCCTATCGCCCACGGCGACCATCTTGTTCATCAACGGCGTCGACACGACGCCGTTCTCTTGCCAGCTGTGGTAGATGGACCAAGCAAGGCCAAACCAGAGTCTCGCCGTCGGCGCATCTTCGGGCTCCTCCTCGGCCAGAGGGTCAAAATGGATGGTGAGACCTTGCTGCAGCCGGTTACGCGCGGTGAAGGCATTGATGTTGATGGAGGTGACTAGCATGAACCTCTTTTTCCACACCCCGAAATCTCCGGACCGTGCCAGCCACGTCTGGGTGCAGTGCCGGACGAGAGAGTGCATCTTGAACACGTCCTCGCTCGCCGTCGGGACTACCAGTGAGTATCCCAGCAGCGTCTCGAGATCTGCCTCAAACTCGTCGCCGGGCCCGGCAGTAACGGTGGAAGCGACATCACTCACGCTGCCAGTCTCCGACTTGGATGACCGCCAGCTCTTGGACAGCGTTTTGCTGATGGACGAAAACCGCGCCTTTTTTGGCTTGGCCGGGCCAGCCCCCCCCTTAGCCAAGTCGGCTCCCGCCCAGCGCCCCCAGGCCTGGGATTTCTGATCCACCTTCAGCTGGCGGCTGAGGTAGCGACGGCCTGCGCTGACAGAGGAGAGCAGCGTGGTTGCAAAGGAGGGGAGGGTGTCTCTGGCCGTCGAGTACGGGAGTGCTGAGGGTTCGGACTCGTACCAGGCTTTGAGGGCCCACCCTGGGATGGACTGGGGGCTGAAGAAGCTCATTAGGGATAGCAGATGGGCCGCCGAGGGCCTCTCCTGCTGGATCTGGTTGAATGTGACGGTCCAGGTGCCGAGAATTGAGGTCGACGCGCCGTGGTAGCGACGGTCGTCGTCGTGCTCCCAGTCGAGCAGCTTGCCTTGCGTGTCGTTGCTGCGGAGCTTCTCGGCGTATTTTCTCACCGTCACCCGGGAGCTGAGACGGTTGATGTAGGCTGCGGCGTGGGAGATGGCCAGAGGCATGTGGTCGAGGAGGCGGACCACCTCCTGTGCTTCCTCTTTCCCACACGGCTCCCTGAGCTTCGACTGGAACAGCTCCGTGGCCACCTCCTCGCTCATGGCTTCAACCTGGTAGGTATTTTTGCTGTTTCCAATCAGTCTTTCGACCGCCGTCTGCGTACGAGATGTAATTAGGGTGAATCCGTTGTTAGCTAGAGGTAAGAGTTTGGCTAGACGTGGGTCGTCGTCGGTGAGAATAGAGTAGTCGTCAAAGTTGTCGAGTATCACCGTCCACCGGCCGTTTGGTTCCTCCCTAAGCCAGTCGTGGACACGGGTGCTGATGTCGCCGAACGAGGCGTTGGAGGTGTCCAAACCTAGCGTATGAGATATGGAGCGATATGATCCCTCCAGGGTACTCTTGTTGCTCGCGTTGAGCCAGAAGACGTGCGATTTGCTTCGGACGGTGTATGCAAACTGGATAGCGAGCTGGGACTTCCCGATTCCCCCAAGACCGAGAAGCGCAACACGTGCTCCCGGGAGCTTGAACTTGTCCCTCAGCCAGACGGAAATATTGGGTTGATCGACGAAGTCAGGATCTTGCGGAAACGGGACGGACCATTTTAGCGTGGAAAGTTTGTCCGCCGTGGGTTCCGAGTTCTCCGCCGGCGTATGCAGCTCGAGGAGTGCCTTTGCCACAGATGCCGCGGTTGCTGCCGCGTAATCTTGGAACTTCTTATTTTTGTGGCTGTCGGCGTAGTCACAGACCCCTTTAACCACAAGGCACGGCTGGTGCTCCCAGATGCCAGCAGCCTCCATCTCAAACGCGATGATGCCCTCCGCGTCGGCGACTTTGTCACGTCTGATAGCGGACTTCATCACCGTATCCCCTGAACCAACAGGCCCGACGTGGATGGTGGGGTCGAAGGCGGCATCGTCAGCATCCGCCACTCGCCCCTCGAGGCGACTCCTCTGGACGAGGAAAGTGTCATCGCATCCCACATCTTCGCAGGAGCTTTCTATTGCTTGCTCACAGACTGGGTCAAGCTCGTTGCCATGATCCCGGCACTTACAGTTGGGCGAACCTTGGTGTTTATGGCGGTAATCGGGCTGGAACAGCCTGTCACGTGCTGTCCGGGGGAAGGCGTATTTTGGTTTGCGTTGTTGTAAGTCTTTTAAACATGACAGGGCCCTTTTGCGCATCAGGTCTTTAACGTCAGTGTCGAGCATGGCTAGAATACCCATGATCTCATGGTTGGGTCCAGTAAGATTGTCTTTAGCGCTGTTCTTGCGGCGGAACCCGTCTGGATACTCTCTCCCAAAGTCATACTGAACGAGTGAACGGCTGATGACAACGTCGCCGAGGAGGATCTCGTCATCCCCTGACTTGGGAACACCGCCGCAGATGCCGACGAGCAGGGTTACGCGCACGTTGGGGTAACTATGGCGGAGGTCACTGGCGACAACGGCGGCGTTGACTTTGCCCATCCTGTTCGGCAGCAGGACCAATACAACATTGTGTTGCCAGATCCGGCCGTTGACGTACGTGTTGAGGTCATTGGGGGCCTTGCCAAATGCTGCGCCGCTAGGGTTGGTTGTCCATACCTCGTCGAATTGCGACAGGGCGGCATCGAACTCGAGAGGGAGGGCGCATACAATGGCGACGTGGAAATGCCCACGATGCGAAGGCCGCGGATGTGCCATCTTTGGTTCTGGTAGACCAGAAGGCCGTTGCCGACCGAATGTGAGGGTGGCATGGTGAGAAAGGAAAAAGAGTTCAAGTCAAGCCTCGTGGGGCCGCGGCACAGCAGTCGACCGGAGCGGAGTGAGGCTGGGTGCGGAGCTGCATGATGGATCATGCGGGCGGCAGACAGGGGGTTACATTGGGTAGGCTCAGGTAGGCTCTTTTGCTCGATTTGAGTGGGCCATCCCGGAGTAACCAGGGGAGAAAGGGGAGCTGATTACGGAAGAGGAACAGTCGGCTAAGACGAAGTGGGCAACAACTCAAACGATGGCTCTGGTAGTGGAACAGGGAAGTTTCTGGCCAGATTCCCCTTAGTCCTTGACATTCTTCAAGTTGGAATTCAAAGCTGACATCAAGGCAAACTAGAATAACCACGTAGGTTCCCAACCTGGGTGATCGAGCCCAAGGCGGCAAAGATGGCAACAAGGCATGGCTCGTTGGCTCATTTTGTCGGCCCTTGAACGGCTGAGTGAATCGTTTCTTCCTTTGTTTGCTACCTAATGGAAAGCGTACCAGAGCAACAAGTTAACAACGTAGGCGGCCCTGGTGAAGCCACGGGTCAGGAATAACCAATGCCGGGAACAGGACCATTATTAGTTTCTTGATCAGCGCAAATTTGAACCTCAAGTCCCCTACATATATACACAAAGTCCAGAAGCCACTATTGCTGTCAGATCACCACTGAGCTTCAATAACCGTTGCCATTAACCGTTACATATAGAGTGACGAAGCAGACATCAACTCAAGCTAACAGAAACTAGTATTACCGTTCTACCACAACTACACCAACAATCATGTCTCGACAACTGAGCCTCGCCTCCAAGCTTAGGCCCCACCTCCCCCTCAACCGCTTCAACGACGAAAGTGGCGCAGCCGCCTACGCCGAATCCCAGCGCGACGCCGTGGCCAACATGCCCGATGAGGCCTTTAGCACGCCCGAGGCCACCAGCGAGGCCGCCATCCCCCTCGCAACCGCCATCAAGCGACAACACACTCTCCGAGTCCGCTTCAGCGCCGCCCGCGAGAGCTGGGACTTTGACGTGGGCGGCCTGTACTACGTGTGGTACGTGGAGGGGGACGAGGACATCGTGGCCGCGATGAGCGGGCTGGAGCAGCAGCTGTCGACGCGGTACATGGCGACGACAAGTCTGTGGATCGCGCTGGTCCAGATGGAGGAGCGGCAATGGGCGGGGCGGATCGCGGAGGAGTACCGGGTGACGAAGCTGGCGACGATGGCTATGTGGGAGCGTATGGTGGCGTTCTGGGAGCCGTTGGCGAAGCGGTTGAAGGTGTTCTTGGAGGGTGACGTGGAGGGGAGGAAGGGGGATGAGATTAGGGCCGGGCTGCGCGAGATCTTGAGCGGGTGGGATGAGGTGCTGCCCCGGCCGAGCTCGCCATTGAAGTGAAGGTTGAGATGGGAGAGGTGGGAGGGGGTGGCTTGCAGGGAAGTGGTTTGGGATGGAAGGGTGGCCGTTTCTGGTGGTTTACCTAGGTAGGGGCTGCTTCACCATATATATTTAACAAAGAGTGAAACGAAGTAGAGGTCGTTTTAGAGTCGTTGACTTCGTCTTCACCAGGTGAAGAATGCTAATGAATACATACGGCTTGGAATTGCCCATGCGAGATCACAAAACCACCAATCTTTCTTGTCCAGCCCAGAACGCGTTTGTTGGGGTTCCAGAGGCCGGCTCAGCAGCATATGATAAGTGACTAAATGCCACAGCTCCCCCCCACCATTCAATTCTTTCTTTGTTCAACAGCAACGCCCCATGTTGCGGGTGCGGGTAGCCGAAACATGCTCATTTCCAGGACATTTCCAGAACCCAATGGAAGGAAGTTAAAGTTTTTTTTTTTTTTTTTTGGATCCAGATCCCCCCGGCTCGTCGCAGAGTAACACGAACTCGCCGCCAGGGATGCTTTCTCCCAATCCGGGTCTGACGCTCACCCAGTACATGGCTTTTTCCAGGGGTAGACAAGTCGAACAAGGAAATCCAGCCACCACAGTCATCCAAGCCGGTATTTGGTGGGTAACATGGTTTGTGAGTGGCTCCCGAGAGTAGCGGGCGTCATGAAGCCCGGGCCAGTTGATCAAAGCTCGAGTTTCAGAGATTTCGGTGGTCTGTTCATCGGCGTTTCCGAAGGGCTCAGCTGTCATCGTCGAGCTTGGATGATTTTTGAGAAATCTGAGGAATGGGAATGGTGATGAGATGGCTGTCTTCATTAAGAGCCCGTCCCCCGAACATGGGGCAGTTTCTCTCCCACCCGTTAAACAACACTCTTACCACACACACACCACACACACCTCCAGCTTCTCTGAACCCGACTTCAAGATCCTCAATCTCACCCCTGACGAGAAGCTGCGCCCATCCCATCTTGAACACCACATCAACCATCATCACCCCAGCAACCGAGCAGATTTCATTTTTAAGCTACCCCCAATCGGGCTCGCGGTCTCCAATCACGTTCCGCATCCCGGCCATTCTCTGCATCCTGTCATCTCCACACTCGCTCAACATGGCCTCCGCTCGCTCCTCTCCCTGCCCGGCGCCCGGCCGGCGCCAAGTCCGCCAGAAACGGGGGGCGTACGAGAAGCCATGCCCGCCCAAGCCCTCTCCCAATCCATCCCCCGGCCAAGGGTCCAACTGAAGGTGCGGCGCTTCCTGACGAAGACCGATGTGTGCTGCGCCGCTAACATCAATCTAGTTCAAATTTGTACCGTCACACAGGCTGGTCCTGTGATGCCTCGGCTACGTCCGCTATCAGCCTGGACGAGGTCGCCGGGTGAGAGTCGGGGGGCCTCAACGTCGATGTCGCCGCTAAAGGTTCGAATTGGATTTTTAATGATCCATGTCACCGTGCGCAGCAGTAACTAACTTGTACGATACAGGGCCGACACCATATCATAATGTTTTTTCAATGAGTAATGGAGGCTTGGGAGATAGAATACGTGAATTATAGATTGATTAGATCTTCGCAATTAAAACTTTTGGTTCATGGCTGCAATGAATTGGCAGATTCCTTTTCTCCTTGAACAAAGTAGAACTTCCCCCGACACCACTCTGCATGTCTCAAGATGGCTGCAAAGTGCAATCACCAGTTTAGATGCGCAGCCCGCCTGTTACGCTGCACTACTTACTACCTTGGCCGCGGGATCCAACAGCAGGTGGCGGTGCATGATATGCCTGCCGATCTAAGGTCTCCCGTCACCAGCACACTTTGGCTTCGTCAACTCGAGTTGATCCGGACTAGGTAACCTCTCCATCCCCGAGCTATCTTACCATCATCACAACGCGCTTCCCCGGAACCTCTACTCATGGAAGCCGCAGGCACGGCACTGGCCGTGGCGTCACTGGTCGCCAAGACAGTTTTCACCATCGCCGACATCTCCAGCGGCTACAGGTCTGCGTAGGTACTCAGAACTCGTGCGCGTCGAGAACAACCTCGTGTCCTTCAGGGAGGCACTGGGCCGGCTTCCCTTTCATGGGTACTCAATCTTTGGGAACGTGCTCACCAACCTGGCTACCAATGTGTGGAGGCTATGCAAGTCTTTGTCAACAAGCGGCTGAATAAGCAGACGGGCGGGAGGGCCTTGCTGGTGAAGCTTGAGTGGCACAGCGACCGTGTAAAGCTGGGGAGAATAGAGGCTGCGCTTAGGACATCCAAGGCCACTCTCATTATCGGTATTCAGGCCTGGTGTTAAGGGGGGCTGATCGGAAGGAGCTCGTGGTCGGTCTTACAATGTCGATGCAAGAGAAGAAGCTTCTTCGGTTACGGTGACCATACATCTATCTCTCGGACTGGCCATTGATGGAGCCAATAAGCGGTGCGTCCTATGATGCCTCAATACGACGCGGATGTGAAGAATGGGGGGAGTGGAAGCCATTGGTGAGAGCTGAGAAGAAACCTCGGGGCGAGATGGGTTTTCCCACATCAGTCCCGCCTGCCTTGAGTTGGTTACCAGAGCAAAAGGAGTTGGTAAGCTATGAGACCACTGCGAAGATCCGCGTTTGGCACTATATGATGTACCGACAGTTTGGCCCGTGAAGGTGCCACCTTAAAATACCACCTTCAAGGTGGTATTTTGGATGGATGTAGCAGTTGCCGTACAGATTTGGTGTTGAGTCTGAAGATGATCGCATGAGGCTGCATCCGTCCCATCTATCGGGGAGTCGAAAAGACGCAGCAGGGATTTAGTGCAACATCAAATTATCCTTGTTTACCAACTATGCGGGTTGGCTCAGCCCCTTGGCCCTTCATGCGGTCGAGGCCACCGGGTGGCCTTCATGGAGCGGCCGCCCGTGGGTCTTGCCGCCGACTTTGCCGCCGACTGTGCCAACTTAAGGTGGTCTTGCAGGGATAAAATGCAGGGCTGATCGTGAGGCAGCTAGGGGCCGGCCGGGCTGCCCATTTTGTGGCCCCCCCTTGGCATGTCTAGGCGTTTTCAGGCATTTTCATTGATCCAACAGAAGGCTGACGCGAGTAGTGGCGGCGCAGACACATTGCCTGAAACCTTTCCGTTTCCGAGTTTGCAAAGATAAATCATCTCTAGAATCCTTCAAGATTCTGCGCCAATTCATTATTTTCCTGCCCCTTCCGTCCGGAAAAACATACTAGCCTGCCACCCCAGCTTTGGCCCCCCCGAAATAAGGTGACTTGTCTGAGTCTGTCTAAACCTGTATTAGTCGATCAGTTGAGCCATGGAGCCCGTCGGCCTCGGCATTGGTGTCTTGGGTCTCGCCGGGCTCTTCACAAGCTGCATCGACTGTTTCAATCTCGTCCAGCGGGGACGCTACCTTGGACGCGACTATCTGATTCTGGAGACAAAATACAAGAACCAGCGATTGCGTCTCTTGACCTGGGGTCAAGCATGTGGCCTCACAAGGCCCAATGATCCCGAATCCGATGATTCAGGAGGGTCAAGATGGGACGAGAACGTCCATTCCGCCGTTTCCGAGACTCTCCTCCGGATTCGCTCCCTATTCCAGGATCACCGCGCACTGCGACGGCGGTATGGGCTCACGATGGATGAATCGAACATTGACGGCAGTGTGGCCCCTCCGTCAAAGCTAAGGAGTATGACCTCGAAAATACGAGCTACAACTTTTGCTGTAACAGACATGACACAGTCCGCCCTGACAACATCACCGCGGCCGTTCGTGCCCAAGCGCCGCAGCTTCCCCTCGGCCGTCCGTTGGGCCATCGACGACAACCGCAAGTTTTCCGAGTTGGTACAACACCTCAAGGACTTCATCGACGACCTCGAGGCGTTAACAGCCGACCTCCATGCGCGCCAACGACAGCGAGAGCTGATCGAAGTCGAAGTCGGGAGTATATCGGACTTGAGCGAACTCGAAACGATGGAAGAGGCGCGCATGGGCGCTATCGATGCCGTCGCCGACGCCGCCAGTTTACGGCTTTGCCAGATAAACAATCTTGACATCCAGCTGGACTTGACTGAACCTCTCCCCTGGTATGACAGCACCGCCTTGGGGGACTCGGCCCCAGCCCAAACACCCCAAACACCGCAGACACCGCACACGCCCAAGACTCCTCAGACCGAGGACTCTGAATGGGACATGGTCGAACCAAGCGTCGCCCCGGAAACAGACCCATTAGAAATGTACTACCAAGTACTCTATCGGGTCACATGCGACGCCCAACCGACCATGATCTTCCTTGACATACCGAACTATTCCCACGAGAACCGGAGAGAACCAGATCAGCAATGGCTCGTCATTGATGCCGATGCTCCGCTCCGGGACCCCGCCCCCTTGCATCTGGCCGGACAACGGCCGTTGCCGAACCTCGAAGCGTATCTGAACCAAAACACCCATTTGTCTTTCCTGGTGATTCGGGAGTACAAGTGCCTTCACGAGACAGGCCGTCGCCCTTGTCAGCCCAACTTGACCCAGACCTGCATTCGGCTCACCTCCGACCTCTTGTGTGCGACCCTGAACTCCTGGCGCCTCGCAGCGCGGCCTCCCAACTTCCATCGTGATATGGAGCTCGGCCCCCCATACACGTGGTTCTATCACAATCGCAAAGTGCTCACCGACCCTATGAGTTTGATTGGGCCACGCCCCTTGGATCGACACATGGCGGCCGCAGAGACGCTTCTGGAATACATCAAGGCCTGCATGGATGATCTGTACAGCGGGCTAGACCAGTCCCTCGATGGCAATGGGCGCGTTTCATGGGTTCATCTCCCCCTCATCTTTGTACGTTCCCCCCGATATATATCAGTCCCGACAATTGCCTCTCACGCTTCTCTGAGAGTTAACATACTGACCCTAAATTTGCGGCCTAGCGTCCCGGCGATATAGTGGTCCAGCGCCTCCCCGAAGGCGATGATGACTTTCGCGCTTTTGAGCAGACTGGCCCCCCACGTGTCGTTTTCGTAGATGACGATATCTCGGCCGAAGTTCTCGAAATCCCCGTCGCTCGTGTTTTCTCTGCTGATAACCGGCGCCCACTGCTGCTGGAACCGCAGGTTCTCCGTATCCGCCGCGCTCTGTTCGAGGGCGATGAGGAAGTGGCGTTGCTCTCGGCACTTCCAATTGTCCCCCTACATCTCGCTGAAGACTGTGACGAGGGTTACCTCGTGAGCAGGGGCAAGAAAGCTTTCGAGATGACGCGAGGGTTGAGTTTGGTCGTATACCAGGATCAGGATTCCGACCCCGTACGTCCCCAGCGATATGCTTGATTATGCTACCCTACTCAGCTACTGACGTGACGCAGTTGAACGGGGAATATATTATCGACGCCCCTCTATTCCAAAAGCAACAGAATGGCCCTCGCAAGACCATCACACTAAGAAAAGAGGGTGATGCCCAGCCCGAGGGGCGAGATGACTTGCTCGACGACTTCGACAGGGTTGCTCCGCCGCAGCCGAATGAGCCGGCAGAAGCGAACCCCGAAACCGCCTCCTTAAGCGAACTACGGACCTACATGTGCATGCCGCACACCCTCCCGGGGTTCAACATGCGCCATCACGTTTGGAAACGCCTTCTGGTCCGAAACATCGAGTACGAATCCCACGTCCACGCCAATGTCGAGGATGCCCAGGCCCAAAGTCGACAACATGCTGGTCTCGGACGACCTCAAGGCTTCCATGAGAAAGATCTTGGGACCGATGGAACTGAAACCCAGCTGGCGGTGGCATCGCCGCCGTCAACTAGCCGGTGGCAAGAAGCCCTTGGCGAGGATCACTATTGCTCTCCAGAGCGGATCACATCGAGTCCGCTGCCAGGGTGGCCTCGCGCATGACCCAAAGACCGCTCTACCGCATCCGGATCTCAGGGCCTGACAAAGACCTCGACAAGATCTTCGAAAAAGCCAAGACCCTCAACGCCGACTGGGGCTGCATCTTCTTGATCGAAGACATGATCGAAGCGTACACCTCCCATAACCAAGCCTCCTCCCGAATCAACCTCGTCCTGCTCCCAATCCTCCGCTTCCTCGACAGCTTTAACGGCATCACCATCTTCCTCCTCGCCTCAGAAGATGCCAAGACCGATTCCCTAAAATACGTCGAGCCCCGGATCAAGCAGCGGCTGTGCAGCAGCTTCAACATCGGCAACGAGGACGTTCCTGAGCACACGCGCGAGCAGCTTTGGAAGGAGTGCATGATCGGCAGGCTTGGAATGACCGAGGGGTTCCTCTCCGATGACACGCGGGAGAGGCTGAAGAAACTCGCCAAGTTTAACCTGACGTGGGACGCCATCAGTTCAACCGTTTATGCCGTGCTGCCCAAGGGCATCGCTCCCGATTCGGTCAATTGGGACCTTGTAGAAGAGTTGGCTGAACAGCAGCAACAGTTCAAGAACCCAGCCCTGAACGATCTATGGTGAGCAGCAACGAATCTGAGTGTCTTGGACACGGCCATGTGCACTTAGCGGGCTCTTTGGCATGATCAACATTCACGGATTCACACAAATTCCCAACGCTGCTATCTCCTGTTTGGCTTGTCGCGGTACCTAGATACCCAGGGTACTCAGTTAGCCCGCTCTTCCGATAAAAATTGCAGCTTCCTCCTGCTGTCGTCTCACTCATGCCACCACAACTGTCAACGGGTGCCCAAGGGCCCACCCCGATGTGGCCGGCACTGGTGGCTGGGTGAGCCAATGGCCTCGACATCAATACATAATATGTTTTTTGTAGTCAATGAAACGCATTAGCATGCGGTGCAGTCTGTGTGTTTGTTGGATGACAGCCTGACAAGCACCCCCCCCAAGCCCTTCCCCTGATTCTAAACCATAACATTAGCTTACACCCCCTCCACACTATCGCGGAAGCTTCCCCTGAATGCTGAATACAAACTTCTGGAATACATTTGTCGGCCCAACCCCTCCAGCCCAAATTCAAGGTAATCTAAAACACCGTATCTCCTTCCGGAGGGTTCTATAACCCTAACCCCTAACCTTCTCCTGACGAACCACGAAGTCGGGGTGGGCTAAGGATGAAGTTGGAAGCCAGCCTCAATAAGGTAACATCCCCGGGTGGAGAAATCAAGTTTCCCAAATTGGCGGTTTGGAAGCATGTCGTAACACTGAAAGTGACAGTGTTGTTAGTTGCAGAATGCTCTACGATTGTGCGCCTCAGAGATGGCCGCAATATTGGGGCCATAGGATCTCAAATTGAACCAAGATGGATGATGATGATTGACTAGCATCAAACACCTGCCACGGTCATTCCATAAGATCAGCTAAGATAGAGGTAACAAATGTGACTGAAGATCATCGTGCAAACGTACCTTGGGTACCTTCCTTACTTTGGGTTCTCGACCCCCATCAAAGAATGGGTTCGTTGGACAGAACTAACGGAGGGCACGACGGCAAGGTTTCTGCCGTCCGGACATTGAACTCAGCGACGGGTTGTGATTACTGTGATTGTAGCTTGATTTCCAAATCCAACAAGTTCCTGCCTACCCAAGTACCTACTTAGGTGCCTTCCATTATTTTTGATAGTGCAATGATTTCCACGCCAGGCCCACGGCCGCGCCTGCCAGGATGGCAACACTCCCGCAAATCTTGTTTTGCACCTTTCAGTTTTAATCAATCGTACGAGAACGGAAATGGGAAGGGTCGGAGCCGGAAAGGGGATTTTGAGCAGACTTTTATTTATCTGGCCGTTCCACTTGCATTTGCGTTTTTTCTTCTAACCACTTCTTTTCTTACACGAACGACGCCGACTGCGGGTCAGCAATTGTACCTTATTATACTGTTATACCCTTCCAACCGTGCCCCTCCAACATGGCAACCTACCACGTCACGGTATGTTCTTGCCCTGTCGTCCGTAGTCCGTACTAACTGAAGCAGCGAGCCAATATAATTGTCCATAACGGGCCGCAGCGAGGCGTGGTGTGCGGCGGCGACGGCGTGGCGTTGACTGCCGTCGTCGTCCATCACACCGTTTCAAGGCCAACCGACGGCGCTCCATTGCCCGGGCCGTCGCCCACCGGGCCCAGGTAAGAATGCCCTTAACACTGTGATTAGCCACTTGCTAATCTTGAACTTGTGCCAGGCTCCAGCCTCGGAGCAGCCGACCATCCATCACCAGGCCCTAGCCTCGGAGCACGCAACCGTCCAACATCAGGCCCCAGCCTCGGAGCAGGGACCATATACCACGAGGTCCCATCCTCGGAGCAGGCAGTCTTACAGCACCAGGTTAGCTGCAGAGTACCTACGCAACTATCCACCACCAGGTGGCTCGGGACATGAGTCCCACCACCATTGGCGATGCAGATGAAGTAACTTACTCTGATGAGGAAATGGCTTAAGGTTCAATAGCATGGTTTTTGGCAGCAACTAAAACATCCCAACATCTCGTATAGCCTGTATTTCCACAATCCCAAGGTTCTGATAATGCAGATTACGGGATCCAAGGTTGACACTCCTGGCAAGAGCTGCAAACGCTTTGCAGGCCCTGTCTCACAGTATCGCTGGAACCATTGCCAGTAATATAACCATCGTTTCTTTTTCCAGCACAGCCCATTGTTGACGGCCTTGGGATGAGATAGTGACTCTACGCAATGGAAGTAAGAGCCGTGTTTCCCAGGTAAAGATCTCGGATCTTGCTAGTCCTCTGACGAAAAGAATTCGTACAAACGTTGAGTTTACCCTACACAAATGGCAACCCTTATCCTACCAGGGAATGACCCAGACGCGGAGCTGGTTACCCTGTTTGTGGGAGACGAGGATGAGAACAAGCTGGAGCTCGAACATGAAATGGGGGTGGAGGACGGCACCCCAGGTATAGATGGACAAGTGGCTTGGGAAGACAATATACCAACTTGCCTAGTCGAAATCCAGTCCGTAACAGGCCATTGTTTCCACTTGTCTAATACATCGAATCGCCATCTCTTGATATTCCATCCCGTTCAGCTCCGCGTTTTGATTCGACCCTCTGCGGCAATTGCTGGCCCATCTGTCTTTTCCACGGCGTCCGGTACTGGCCCTGGCTGGCGAGCTCGTAGCCGACGATGGTGGCCGGCCGCGTGGTCGGGTCGGATTCGGGTTCGAGGACGTCCCAGAGGATATCGGGTTCCCGAAGGGTGCCGTAAAAGGAGGAGTATACGGGCTCGAAGCGCTACGCTGTAGGGGACCATGTTGCGGGGATCTCTGGCGAGCCAGAGGCCAGGGATTTCATCCAGGGCCCAGCTATGACCTCGAATCAAGGGCGCCGAACTGAGTGGTTGACAGGCTCGTTGGACGCCAAGGTTGAACCACCAGCCAAGGTCTTGACCGGGTGCCTCTGCAGGCCAGCCGCTGAGGGGTAACCGGATGGCCTCCTCCTTGATGTCGACGAAGCCAGCGTCAGCCAGCCATTGCTTTGTGAGATAGCTCTGCTAGCGTATCTGACGACCGAAGATATCTAAGCGTCCAAAATCCATTGCGCACTATATGTTGCGGGCGCCGGCATTCCGGGCCCACCTTTCCAGACCGCCCGGCCCCGCCCTGCGTGGGCTTAACCCACGCAGTGGCATCGCTTCCTGTTGTTAGTTTCACATTGGTATCGTCTTCCTGTGTGCTCACACACTATACAATGTAGGCATCCCGTAGCAAGGTGCTCTCATCGTTCGCAGCCCCGCCACGCTTATAGGTCTCGCTGCTGAAAGCAGCCAGGCTCCCGGTCTACAGATAGCGAGTCAAGCTGCCGCCAAGCGCTGAAAGGTCCCTGCAGTCTGCCAAGGCGGCCGTCTGCTGGAACGACCAGGGGCGGAATGCTACCCTGCCCGCTGTTGCTGCTCTCCTCTTTTCCAATGAAGACCTGCAGCGGACGAGCTTCTCGCCTCGAGCAAGCCAACCAAACCTCTCCTGCTCAACCACATGGTTTCACCAGCCAAATTCTCGCGCGTCTCTCGGTCCTTGTGCGCGGCACAGCCGCACAGATGCCCTTTTATAGGTGGGCTAGTAACCCCCGCCATTACCGCCGAGCACTTCTGTGTAACTCCGAGGCTATCTCGAGCAGGAACGGTGATCTGCCTCATTACGAGATAAATTGGCGCAGCCACTAGGGCCTGCCATCAATCGGGAGTTCCACGTCGTCGGTCGATACAACTGGCATCATTGCACGGGCTCAGTTAACTCGCTTAGGTACCTAGGTACCTAAATCATGAAGCCTGTGCTTGCAAAGAAGCCGGGAGAGGCCGTCTGGAAGAAACAGGAAAACGAATGATCTGTAGATTAGAAAGTTCGAGCTTATCGCCGATCCGCGTATACCAGTCTAACCGCGCCGCCGCCGGAAGAACGGAACAGGTGCTGCATTCTTGTTGTCGAGCGCCGGATCATCGGATCGCTCAATACCGGGAGAAATCGAGGTCTCTCAAAACGGAGGACGTATCCATGGGATGGCAATAGAGTCAGGCACCCACCCGACAGCACTGTCTTTTGCAGGGAGCCGTTTCTATGGCCCATTCCGGCTCGTAGCAAATGAGGGCGAGGACGGTGCGGACGCGTCCCGGCCCGGCGCCACGGGCACAGCCGTGACATCATGTAGGTACCTAGATAAGATCTGAGCAGGCGGCCCGCGCTTGTATCCGGTACTCTTTGTAAGGAGGAAGAGCGGCGGCCCGGGTTGATTGGATGCAGCGATGGAGTGCCTTGCCCCCCGTGGCTCACCCCAAGCTCGGCCAGCCTGCTTGGGCCGGCCGGAGCCTTTGCCGGAGCCAACCGCGCAAGAGTGAACTATTCTAACAGGAATACCGCCCCGTTTGTCTTATGACCGGTGCTTGTGGAGCGTCGGCTATCGAGCTCGACAAAGCGCTCGGTGGGCTAAAAGTGAGGCTGGGCCCGGCTTTCTACCTCAGGCCCCTTTTTTAGTTCGGTCTTTTTCTCCAGAGGTTGTTAGGCATTGCAGTCCTCATGTTTAACTTAGTACGAAGATCCGGTAGTGGTTAGAGCTCTCTGAGGCCGTTATTCGTTGACGATATAACCCTCTTTCGCTGATGATGGAAACCTCATGTCCCTTAGCAACACTCAACCGTCAAACCGGAGTGGAGTCATCCTCCAATACATGTACCCGAAAGCGTGCCGGAGCCGCTGGCTGGATCCTGGGCGTCGATTGTGAAGGGCCTAGCGTTCATTTTAGTCCTGTTTATTGGGACTGTTCCAACCAGTCTCCTGCGTTGCTACATCAGGTGCGCACCACAGCCGACCCCTTGAATCTACACCTGCCAGAGTAACAACCCAGGCTCTTCTATGTGATAATGACCCAGTTACAGAACAGATCTTCTCTCTAATAGGGATGGAGAATTCATTCTGATCCAAGACGATGCTACGGAGGAGCCCGGTCCCGTAGAGAAGGATATGCAGCCCGTGGGCGACGTCGAGGTAGATGACAACACATCGGCTCTCGCAACAATGCACCTCCTTTAAAAGGACCATCAACCAGGGGACTGTTGTGTAGTTTCATCAGCAGGGCGTCAAGGGCTTGTCAAAAAGGAGAAAGTCGCGAGGCATGCAAACAATTTGCTGGTTGGTGACGGCGAGTACGGTCATCCGAGAATTACCATTGTCTCATACAGCTCCGGTTCTGGATCACGGTACTAACTGCAAAAGGCTGGCCGGCAACCTCTCGCTGTGGTCGCCAATTATAGTCCAGGCGTTACATATCTATTGGATGTTGGATCGGCGACCGAATTGGGCAGGAGGCCGTCATGAGCGAGTTCTTGCAGAAGAGAAATATGCGAAACAGGGGAAATGAGTCATAGAATGCTTTTGATATGTCAATTCCAAAACCAGACTGGGACCTGAATATCCACTACACATACCCCCTGGTCGACATGGTTGAACCTTACAGCTTCCTCGCCGCAGATTTGACACGTCAGTGTTGAAAGAGCGCTCTGAAACCATCTCCAGTTCAACGTTGCGTCGCGTTGAGTTTATTTTTTTGAGGAAGGTCAAGCTGCGCCTTGTCCGGGGTTTCCGAGACGTTTACTGCCCCCCCGGCATTTGTTTTCAAGGACCTCCCTAATTCGTACCTAGTTGGCCACCTATTACCCAACTGATAGGTCGCTTTTGGGTGGATAAGCCCGCCGTTAGCCGGTCATCGGTGGCCGTCAGGGGCATTCCCGAGGTTCTAGCTGGGTTCTAGCCACGTAAAAGATCCACCATTGCCCCATCGTCGGTGAGTAAGTGGCGATATTATTAGTCGGCATTACCAACAGGGCCGAAGTGCCATGTACCCCAGACGGGACTGGTCCTCAACTCCACGATTTGATGGACCCAACACGTTCGATTCCTGCTGGATCTGCCCGGTCCTTGCTCGAGATGCTCCATTCTACTCTCCGATCACGGATTGCCGAGGTGAAAACTGCCATGGCTTGTTCCTGGGAAAAATGAGACGAACCGGATTCCTTCAAATACCAACTCGCCCTGCCCACATTTCCCCAGATTTCTCTCGATTTAACCTCGTCCACACAACAACCTCCTCAACGAGGTCCCATTCAGCTCGGAAGCTTGGCCTGTTGGCGTCCGGCACGGCAATATTTAGACGCGGGCAAGACAACAGCTTGAATCCTCCCCGAAACTCTCGCGTCAGGGGCTCCACTCGTTGCCCGTCCAGATGGCGTCAAACGCCCCGGTTGCTGGGGTCAGCCCAGAGGTCTCGTCAGAGAGAAAGAAGAATGGGCCTGACGACATCGAACCAGCCCCGCCGGCTTATTCCCCGGATGGCGAGATGAAAGATGCTTCCGAGGAGATCAACTATCATACCCTCACCTGGTGGTATGCTCACACTCTCTCACAATGAACCACACCATGAACCGTCAAGCTAACTGATGATGTACAGGCAAGCCGGCGTGGTCATGATTGCCGAGACGGTGTCGTTGGGTATCCTTTCGCTCCCTGCCGTCGTGGCAAACCTCGGGCTGGCTCCCGGGATTGTCGTGATGGTCTTCATGGGCATTCTCGCGACATACTCGGGCCTGGTCATGGGCGAGTTTCGGAAAAAGCACCCCTGGGTCGAGAGTTTCGGCGATGCGGGCGAGGTTATGGGCAGGTCCATCGGCATGGGCAAGGCGTTCCAGGAGCTGTTCGGCTGGGCCCAGGTCATTTTCCAGATCTTCGTCATGGGCAGCCATCTCCTCACCTGGACCATCTGCATCAACACCCTAACGAACAGCGCCGCGTGCACCATCGTGTGGGGCGTCGTCGGCCTGGGCCTCTTCTGGCTGCTGAACACGCCGCGCACCCTGAAAGCCGCCGGATACTACTCGTTCGCGTCGTTCGCGTCCATCTTCACGGCCGTCATGATCACCATGATCGACGTGGGCATCGAGAAGCCCATCGGCACGACCAGCATCGAGGTGGCGCGCACCATCGGCTTCAGCTCGGCCTTCCTCTCCGTCACCAACATCGCCGTCGCCTTCAGCGGGCACTCGTGCTTCTTCAGCGTCATGTCCGAGCTGAAGAAGCCCGACGACTGGCCGAAAGCTCTGATGCTGCTGCAGGTGTGCGACACGGTCCTCTACATCATCGTCTCCGTCGTGGTGTACGTCCACGTCGGCCCCAGCGTCCCCTCGCCCGCGCTCTCCGCCGCCGCCTCCCCCGTCGTCAGGAAGATCATCTGGGGGTTTGCCATCCCAACGATCGTGCTGGCGGGTGTTATCTACGGCCACGTCGCGGCCAAGTATATCTTTGTGCGGGTCTTTGCGGGCACCAAGCACATCGCGAAGCACACCAAGCTGGGCCTCCTCGGGTGGCTGGGCATCACATCGGGGATTTGGATCATCGCCTGGGTTATTGCGCAGTCCATTCCCGTGTTCAGCAACCTGCTGGGTTTGGTGTGCGCCCTGTTCGCCAGCTGGTTCTCGTATGGTATTCCTGGGTCGCTGTGGTTGTGGATGTACTACGGCGAGTGGTTCACGACGCCCAAGAGGACGGCCCAGTTTGTGCTCAACGCGCTGCTGATGCTGGTCGGGTTGTTGCTGTGTGCGCTGGGGCTGTGGTGCTCGGGGGAGGCGATCGCGCAGGACAGGGGGACGGAGCCGTGGTCTTGCAAAAGCAACGCCGCGTAAACGGTGGCGTAGTTAGATGCGCTTTAATGATAGATTGCCGTTTTGTTTGTTTCTTCACGTCGTACTCTTGAATGCCGATGGTAATGATGTGATGTGCTTGTGGCTTCCTAAAATAATGGTAGCGGACGGAGTTTGGCTTTAAAGAAGGGGGGGAGAGGGAGTTCAACATCTGGTGTAGCCCCTTGATGAACAGGTTCCGGGACTCAACTGCAGATTACCCCTCCCCGGCTGTCACCATTTCAGTTATATCCGGGGGTCAATAGTACCTATTTCCAGCCTCCGAATCGTAGCTCTCTTTAACGATGCAGAACATGGCAATTCAGGACAACTTGCGATAGGGAGCAGCTAACTGCGGACCCTACCCGTCACCGCATACATGTTACAGAATAGACAGCTACTAGGGGACATAAATTACCTAATGACATCATAGTAAGTCCATATGATTGTTTCATACCAAAAGCTTTCTACTACATACTTGTATTGTAATAATACGACCATCGGCTTTTTCATTCTCCTGGCCCCGTATCACACTGTCTAGTGCCTGAATCACCACCCCTCAGGTCATCAAGCCAAAGAACTTGAGCATGACGGGCTCGTTAACCGGCGCGATATGGCCCACGCCCTGACCAAAGAAGCCTTGCAGCTGGGTGCCATCACCATAAACCTCCTGGGTGTACTGAGCCGAGGGGACGCCCGAGTTGGTCTTGGTCAGCGAGAGACCCAACACGTTGGCCCACTGGGTGAGCGCCTGGTGGGCGCACTCCGGGCGGACGAGGGTGTCGGCGTTGCCGTGGAAGATCTGCATGCGCGTGCGGCGGCCCGTGTAGCCCGGGTACGAGTTGCGCACGAGGTTGCCCCATTCGGCCGCCGAGCGCTGGATCTGGCCCTGCGCGCAGGTCTGGTTGGGCGAGAAGGGGGTCGCCGAGGGGGCGCCCAGGAAGCAGGCGTGCGCGACGCCCGAGAAGGCCGCGCCCGCTTCGAAGATGTCCGGGTACGAGCCCGCCATCACGTTGGTCATCATGGCGCCCGACGAGCCGCCCATGACGTACACCTTGGACGCGTCGCCCTTGTACTTGTCCAGCGTGTACTTGACCATGCTGACGATGCCGCCCGCGTCGCCGCCGCCGTTGTGCGTCAGGCTGGCGGGGTTTTGCACGTCCCAGCACTGGAGGGTCGGTCAGTAAGTACGCCACAGCTAAGGCTTTTTTTGCATGGCGGTACATACGTTGCTCATCTTGGTCGTGCCGGCGTAAATGAGGATGAAGCCCAGCTGATCGGCGTATGAAGGGAGCTTGGTACCAGAATACCACCCTTGGGCAGAGCCACCGCAAGGGTGCAGCTGTACCGGGGGTCAGTCTTTCGCGCCGGACTCGGTAGGTGGGTGGTGGGCAACTTACAGCAACAATCACCGCTGGGGAAGCGGCAAGCTTGTCCGGGACATAGGCGTACATTTGCAGGCCCGTCGGGTTGTCGCCAAAGTTGCTGACCTGCTGCAGGGACGCGCTCTGGGCCAAGCCCGCAAGGGCGGCAATGTTCGTCAGGGACTGAAGAAGACGCATGATGAGCGTTGTCGAAGAACAAATGCTGGGAGTGTATGGAACTGTTGATGGTCTTCAACCCAGCTCATAACGCTGCGGAAGTGTGATATTTAAGATCGCCATCGTCAACCACAAACCTGGATCGGAGTTGGTCTGGTTGGTGCGGCACGCGGGCACGGCAATGGTTGGCCGGATGAAGTGGCTGATCCAGGGGGCGTGACGACGACCCCCGAGCTCGAATAGGTAATAGCCTGAGTCCCAGGTAGTCGGGCACGAAAGTCAATTTAATCTACACAGAGCCGCGATTTCGGCTCCAAATCACGGAAAGGGTGCAGGGCATAATCTGGTGCCATGTGAGTCGGCGAGGAGCCGATCCTGCTTGCCGGGCACCATCCCCTCTCATACCAGGAAAGCCGCGGGTTTCTAAACAACGCCATGCATTTTGTTTATATCACCCGCATAGTAGACGAGGGGTTGCAACCCATACAAGGTGTCTAACCAGTTACACTTACCCCAACACTAACCCCAGTAATATTAACCCCAACAATGCACTCCACGACTGAGCTGCGACGCCTTATTGCTGCTGATCTCCCTGCCGAACCCTAATGCCGATGATCAGCAAACACTACCACATGCTTGTATAAACAGCTACCGGGCAAGCAGGTACAAAATGCCCGGAAGTTCCACCAATCTAGTGCCCGTAGGACCTTTCCGTTTTCCTAATTTGGAGCCCCGCGCTACACACCTCGCCGCCCCTTACAAGGACCCTTGATCCCTTCTTAAGACAATGCCCGGTTGAGCCGCTGGACTCGCTTGTCAGGCTGCATGCTTAGCGAGATACCAACAACAACGACTACAACAAGATGACTCGCTATTTTGGTCAGATTTTCTCCGCGGCGGTGCTCCTCGTGGCCGCTCTCCATGGCGTCTCAGCCGCAACACCTTCCAAGGGGTGCGGCAACGCCCCCAAGCTGATCACCGACGCGGCGGCCACCACCCCGTTGAAACTCACCTCCAACGGCAAGAACCGCGAGTTCTACGTCAAGCTCCCCGCCAACTACGACAACACCCACCCCTACCGCCTGATCTTCACCCTGCACGCCCTCGGCGGCAACGCCCAGCAAGTCACCGTCGGCACAGGCGGCTACCTGCCCTGGTACGGGATCCCGGCCCTCGCCAACGACACGCTGGGCGCGGTCTACATCGCACCGAACGGGCTCAACAACGGCTGGGCCAACCAAGGCGGCGAGGACATCACCTTTTTGAAGTCTGTCATGGACACGGTCGAGGCGGACCTCTGCATCGACCAGAACCTGCGCTTTTCGACGGGCTTCAGCTACGGCGCGGCCATGTCCTACTCGCTGGCCTGCTCGCTGGGCAAGCAGATCCGCGCCGTCGCTGTCCTGTCCGGCAACCCGCAGATCAGCGGCTGCACGGGCGGGACGGAGCCCGTGGCGTATTATGGCCAGCATGGGACGAAGGACTCGGTGCTGCCCATTGCGGGGGGCAGGCAGATGCGTGATCGGTTTGTCAAGAATAATGGCTGTGCGGCCAAGCAACCCGCGGAGCCGGCCGCGGGGGGCAAGCATATCAAGACGGCGTATGAGGGGTGTGGTGAGTATCCGGTTGTGTGGAATGCGTTTGATGGCGACCATACGCCGCAGCCGGTGGACCCGGGCACGTCGGGGACCTTCTCGGCGGTGGAGAGCTGGGCGTTCTTTGAGCAGTTTACGTAGATACCTAGGGTTGGATGAACGGTTGGGGTAAGGGTGGTGTGTGTGTGTGTGTGGCGGAAATAGTGATGTCTTGAATAGGGGCCTCGTCATGTTGCGGTTCGAAAAGGTGCGTGATTACATACCTATTAGGTACCTAACCTATTCAGGTACCTAGTTACCCAGTATTATCATGCCGTGGTTTCGTGAAAGAACAGGCTCTTTTCTGTAACTCCCACATATTGGGCGCACATGATGTGTCGCATGCTCCATATGTCCGGGCACCTACCTAGGTAGGATTGCCAGAAGCTTACGAGATGTAAATAACATTGTATGACCCCCCCATTTTGTAAGACACTCCCCATGATGCCTGGTTCGGGTCGTCTAGCGTTTACCAAAACCGCTCCAACACTAACTCTGGAATATCAGCTGATGTTGACATAGAAGGGATAATGTTCTTTTTGATCGGGTAACTTGTATGGACGATGGAGCAAGCCAAAGATTTAACAAACGAATGATGAGCTCGAAAATTTCCGTAGGTAACCTTGACACGAGCGCAAGCCCTCGCTCCTCTCCAGCTCACCCACCTATGAGGGGGGCGAGCGAGGCACATAAGCAAGCCACTTACCCCTTTTGCTCGCAACACCCCCGCCCAAGGGGAGAGGGTTGAATTGGGCAGCAAAATGTTCAGCCGCAGAGTCATCATGTCGCTTTTCTCAAGAACAACAACCACCTGCTCGACGGGGCCCTATCGCCAACAATATCGCAAACCATGTCGGCGTCTTTTGGGTCTAGGAATAGGGGTTTTCAGGTGGGACACAATGATGGGACGATAAATGCGGAAATCCATATACTACCGGGTAAGGCCACCGGCTTTATCACGTACCCAATTGTCTGAATATACCTCCGGACGCCTGGCTAACGTCTTTGGAACGGCCGGAAACCCCGCCGCCGCCGCGTGCAGTCATCCCTTCCTCCCGCGATCCCCATTTTGTCAACCGTGGTGACATTCTCGACCGGATCGGCCAACGATGCTCCAAGCCAGCCGGTCGTGTGGCCCTCGTAGGGCTTGGTGGCGTGGGCAAAACGCAGCTTGCCATCGAATATGCGCACCGCGTTACCGACCGAGTTGTCGAGGGGCAACCTGGAACATGGGTATTTTGGGTCTATGCAGGCACGAAGGCACGCCTCGAAGAAGGCTTAAGACAATCGCAGACGCTGTCAAGCTGCCCGGCCGGAACCAACCTCAGACCGATATCCCCCAGCTTGTGTACAACTGGTTGTCCAACGACCGGAACGGCAGATGGCTCATTATCCTCGATAACGCCGATGACCGCAACGTACTCTACAGCCCCATCACCGACGACACGCCGGACAGCAAGCCCTTTGCCACCTACCTACCACAGAACCGAAACGGGTCAATTCTCATCACCGCCCGCAACAAAGACCTGGCCTACAGGCTGACCGGGTACCACCAAAACATCATCGAAGTCGGGCCCATGGAGCAGACAGACGCCCTCACGCTTCTGGAGAATAATCTGGAATCGCTCCCGGATCCAGATATCGCGATCGATCTCGTGCATACACTTGATCTTGTTCCGTTGGCTATCAGCCAAGCCGCCGCATACATACGTCAAAGGGAACCGCGGACCTCGCCGAGCAAGTACCTGGCCGACTTCTGGGCAAGCGAGAAGAGGAAGACACAGCTGCTTGAACACGATGCTGGGGACCTGCGAAGAGATGGTGGTGCTCCCAACGCCATTCTTACCACATGGCAGATATCCTTTGAGCATATACGGTCCGAGCGGCCTTCTGCAGCAGACCTCCTCTCGCTCATGAGCTTCTTTGACCGACAAGGCATCCCGGGATGGGTTCTCAACCCTTCTGGAACTGCCAATCGGGCCATTAGGCAGGCCAGAGAAGGGAATTCTGCCGACAGCACCAGTAGCACGGGCGACAATGCAGACGACGATACGGGGAGCGAATTTGAAGACGACCTCGCGATGTTGATGAACTACTACCTTATTGTCGCCGACGAGACAGGGGACAATTTTGAGATGCACAAGCTTGTGTAGCTGTCGACAAAGAGGTGACTTGAAGCGTTTAGCCAGTACGAGACATTCAAGCAGCGATGTATCCAGCTGTTGGAAGACCAAGAGCCACGATTCCACGGTTATCACACAAAAATGTTTTGAAGCTTACAACAGTGGGTTGGGATCCTCGGGGCATCCCAGAAGTCATCAATTGAAGGTTGTTCTGTCTTCGTCCTCCGTGGCGGGCACCGCCCTGACCTCCTTTTATAGCCTCTTGTTCAACCCCTGGAAACCATCTAACATAAGCGCATCGGCAACCAGGCTTCCGTGTTTCAAGTGCCACAACTTCTGACACTGGTATCCGCAAGAAGGTTCTATATGGCGAATCCACCACATTGCGCCCACGTTGGGCAGCCATACATGTTCTGCAACCGAATGTCCGAGTGCCAAGTGCCACAACTTCCAACACCAGCGACTGGCAGCATCATTCCCGCCAACAGGGGAATACGAAAACTGGACGACGTGCCGGAGTCTGTTCGCACACGTCCAAGTAGCTGCTAGTTACCTCCCGAGTGAGGATATGGCTGAAATGTGGGCAACTCTGCTATACAACGGGGGGTGGTATGCAGGAGAGCAGGGGAGGGAGATACGACGCGGCAGAGTGGATGGTAGGCAAGGCGCGGGAAGCACGTGTGAGGAAGCTGGGAAAGGAGGATAGAGCGACTCTAGAAAGCATATCAATGTTTACTAGTGTTATTTCAAGTCGAGGGCGATGGCACGAGGCTGAGAAGCTACAAATACAGGTGATGGAACTTTGTAAGACGAAATTTGGAGCCGACCATCCCGATACACTGGCGACGATGAACAACCTGGCTTCAATAATTTGTGACCAGGGCCGGTTAGAGGAGGCTGAAAAACTACAACTACAAGTGTTGGAAAGTGGAAAGGCGAAACTTGGAGTCGATCACCCCACGATATCGCTGACCATGAACAACCTGGCCTTGGTATTTTGGGAGCAGGGCCGATTACAGGAGGCCGAGTAGCTAGAACTACAGGTGATGGAAACTCGAAAGATGAAGCTTGGAGTCAATCACCCCGATACGCTATGCAGTATGGACAACCTGGCTTTTATTTGGAGATCTCAGGGTCGATACCGAGATGCCTTGGCCTTGATGATGGATTGTGTCGAGGCTCGACAACGAGTGCTCGGCGCAACGCATGCGGCCACGGTATCGTTTTTGGCCACTGTCACATAATGGAGGGGTTCAAACGACACGTGCAGCAAGCGAGTTAGTCGGAGGGCTCGGGTTGTGGGGAGGATGAGGCAGCTTTTCGTATGGCGACCGAAGAAACGGCAGAAAAGGTGAATGAAGGCCAGCTTGTGTATCTAGAGAAGCTCAAGGACCTGTGGCTCTCCCCATTGGATAGTGTTCCAGGTTGTTTTCCGCTAGAGAATAAGCTCCGTCAATAGGTCTTGATAGGACCAGTCCGTCTCAAGAGCAATGTAAATCGCACACGAGAACCCAGTTCTAACGACGGGCCGGGAATTCACACCCATGCGTTCGACTTGGTCGCCACCACCGGGCTCATTTTCTCAGTTTCCTCGGGCCGGCAACATTGCAGTATCCTACTTATGGGCCCATGTTGTTTTCTGGGTTTTATCTTGCTGGATGCACGACTATTGGGGGTCAACCCGGGCATGGATTTCGGTACCAAGCACCAAGCACCCGGGGAAACCGGCACAACACCTTGGGGGCACCGGAAAAACTGTGCAACATGCGAAGGCAACCCTCAAGCTTCCCAGCACTCAGCACAGTCGACAGTGTATTTATTCCTTGCCTCAGTCAACAAGGGCCCATCCTAGTTCGAACGCTACGTTGCACCACCTCGCCTTCCAAGCTTCAACGAGCGCTGACAAGCACCGGACAACACGGACCGCATGCTCGGCAGCCACCTGAACTGCCGCTAGGCCGGCCAACAGTATCCAGCCCGCTTCGGGATACCTGATTAGGAAATAGCCGAGGGAAGCGGGCGTGGTGGTGGTGGAGAAGCCGGGGCGCCGATCACTCTCGGCGTTCGTCATGGGGTACCCACCCGGCTGCGGCTTGCTTCTTTTTTTTCAATGTTTTCACACTCGGCCCGGATGGCCCTTTGATGGCCGGCACGGCAATGCCGGGTTCGGCGGGTGCCAGCCAGAACGCGACTCGCGGCCGCCATGGCGCAGTTGCTTCGGAGACCGAGCTGGCCTTCCCGTGCAGTGCGAGAGCGCTTCCCTTGCAGAGTTGACGCTTGGAATTGTTTAACTCCTGTCTGGTCTGAGCGGCCATGCTGGTATGTCGCACCAGAGAAATTCCTGCAGAATCCTGCCCCCGTCAACCCCCGATCAGCGCCATAACCTTCTGCATCTTCTTCCCCATCCTGGACCCTGATTTCCCCAGCTTCCTCCACTGGAGAATCCGGAGCCCCCAGTGCCCCCCTCATTACGGCCTGTTGGCACCCACAATTCCCCACAAACCATGCCACAACCCGGCCCAACTGAAATGCGGGAAGCTGCATCGGTGATCCTGAACCTCCAAGTTTCGTGTGACTAAGCCCAGGGGCACGAAGTTGGCCAGTAATGGTTCGGTTGGATGTGACGGCTCACACGGCTTGCAGGATGCAGGCAGGGAATATATAGTCGTCCTTCCGTCCACGAGTTGCTTATCCCCGGGGTTTTTCTTCAATCATCGCCCTCTTTCCAAGTCCCTCTCTCCTTGCCCGGATACACCAGAGCGAGCAAGTGAGCCAGCCGACAACGATAGGGCACTATGAAGAAGTTTCTTGGGCTCCGGGGCCGGGCCCTCAACCTGGCCGTGGCCACAATCGCTGGATGTGACTTTCTTTTATTCGGCTATGGTAAGGACGACTCGCCCCATGTATCATTGATCCCACCCGGCTAACGTGGTGTTAAAGACCAAGGCGTTATGGGTGGCATCCTCACCCTCAAGGTCTTTCTTGACGCCTTCCCGATGATCAACCCCGAAGCGGCCGGGCTCACAACAGCGGAATCATCAACTCGGGCAACCTACCAAGGTATTGCCGTCGCTTCATACAATCTCGGATGTTTCATCGGTGCCGTCATCACTATCTTTATCGGAAACCCTCTCGGCAGAAAGCGAGTGATCATGCTGGGTACTTCCGTCATGATAGTGGGAGCGATTTTACAGGCCAGCTCGACCACGTTGGAACAGTTCATCGTCGGGAGGATTATTACAGGATTGGGCAATGGAGGGAATACCAGTACGGTAAGCCAGTTTGTTTGGACAGATGGCTATTATAACCCTAACCCCGTCACATACCCCTTACCCCTTTTAACAACACCATCAACACCATCAACCGTTTTACCCGTTTCGTGTGTCAAACTCCCTGCTAAAAAGCCTCTGCCTCTAGGTTCCAACATGGCAGTCTGAATCATCCAAAGCACACAAACGCGGGAAGGTTAGTGAAAAGTAAATCCGGCTGCAAACCGAATGATATTCTGACAGCCCTATTGCTCGTCATGGTGGAGGGAGCCCTGATCACAGGAGGCATCATGGTATCTTATTGGCTCGATCTAGGTCTATCGTTTGCACCGGGGTCCGTTGCCTGGCGTTTTCCGCTCGCATTCCAGGTTTTCTTCTGCCTGATCATCCTCATCTTCATCCCCTTCCTCCCCGAGTCGCCGCGCTGGCTCATCCTCAAGGGCCGCGAGGCCGAAGCCAAGGAGGTGATCGCCGCGCTCGAGGACAAGGAGACAACGGACAGAGTCGTCGAGAACGAATTCCTCGCCATCAAGGAGACCGTGCTGGAGATGTCCAAGGGAACCTTCGGGGACCTCTTCACCATGGACAAGAACCGCAATCTACACCGTACCCTGCTGGCCTACTTCAACCAGGTCTTCCAGCAGATCTCGGGCATCAACCTGATCACATACTACGCGGCTGTAATCTACAAGGGCCTTGGAATGACAGACTTTATGTCACGCCTGTTGGCCGCCCTCAACGGCACCGAATACTTCATCGCGTCGTGGCCGGCCGTCTTCCTAGTCGAGCGGGTCGGCCGGCGCAAGCTGATGCTGTTCGGCGCGGCCGGGCAGGCGGCGACCATGGCCATCTTGGCGGGGGTCAACTCGCGGAACGATTTCGGCTACCAGATTGCGGGCATCGTGTTCCTCTTCGTCTTCAACACCTTCTTCGCCGTGGGGTGGCTGGGCATGACGTGGCTGTACCCGGCCGAGATCGTGCCGCTGCGCATCCGCGCCCCCGCCAACGCCCTCTCCACCAGCGCCAACTGGATCTTCAACTTCCTCGTCGTCATGATCACCCCGATCGCCTTCAACAATATCGGCTATCAGACCTACATCATCTTTGCCGTCATCAACGCCTTCATGGTGCCGGCGACCTACTTCTTCTACCCGGAGACGGCCTACCGCTCGCTCGAGGAGATGGACAACATCTTCCACAAGGTGGAGGACGGATGGAAGGGCGTGTTTACTGTGGTGAAAACGGCCAAGGCGGAGCCGCGGTGGTATGGCAAGAATGGGGAGCTGTTGGTCGATTATCAGCAGACCGAGGAGCACCGGAGGCATGTCAAGGAAGCGGGCGGTGTGGTTGCGCCCGAGAAGACGTCAGGTGAGGGTGATGGGTCTGGGTCTGGGAGTGGAAGCGGCGGTGGTGTCACGCACGACGAGTTCCGGGCGTAGAGTGTCGTCTACTTGGGCGTTTGCGTTCAGGGACAATTTAGAGATACCCTTGCCTTGCCTGGCTAGAGGGCATGCTGGGCCGTTATGGAGATGGGGGATTGATGATATACCCAGTCGGA